CGGTGTCAGGCCCTGTGCTGTGTGGACCAGAGAGACAACCCAACACGGCTCCTGCTTCTGGACCTCCCAGCCGATGCCCGGCGTGCTCTCAGGGCCACGATGGCATGTGTTGGCTCACTGTGGGCCAGTGCGCGACCTGGAGGACAGAGGGGTAGTAAAATCTGAAGAAGCCAGGAGAGACATTGCACACGAGGTGACCTGTGAGGCTGACTAGGGTTTGCTCTGCAGAGTTAACTAGGGAGGCAGCCCCAGGGGAGGGAACAGCGTCAACCAGGGCCCCGCTGTGCACAAAAGCACAAGTATTTTGGGGCAGTATCCGCTGTTTCACCAAGTTTAGAACCAACTTCGAAACATGAGCCACAGTAAACGGGGGTGGGGGGAGGAGGCAGCCTCTCAGCTCTGCCCGGGAGCGAATGTTACGGCGCATTGGCAGCTTCAGCTGCAGGAACGTCCGGTAAAACGCTGCGGAGGCCATTAGTCAGCGAGGGCGGGAGCCACAGCCCCTTCCGGAGGTGGCACAGAGGAACTGCCGTCCTGGCACGGTGGCCTCTCGCAGTGGGTTTGCACCACCAGACCTGCCTTGTCAGCGGCGTTCGGTGAGACGTTGAGGATGGTGGGAGAGAGACGTTATCTGTCCTGCAGAAATCAAAACCCTGGAGACAGGGGCCAGTCCGCTTCCCCCCACAGTCAGTGATTTCTCCCCAGAGGATCAGAGGGCACCCTCCCGGGTCCTGACCGCCCCTTAGCTCTGCGGAACTCAGCGTTTTCACCTCCATCATCTCAAACCGGGCGCGGGAGAAAAATGATGCGTTGGGCAGAGCGCGGCCGGACATCCTGGAGCCGCCCGACTGAGCGCCGCCGAGGAGCGCGACAGACAGCGCGGGGGCCCCTTCTATAGTGTCGACAGCAGCCCCTCTCCAAGCACAGGCTCTGCGGGACAGGGGAGCGTGCTTTGCCCCTTTCACAGCCGGTGTGTGCTAAATGCTCCATCGATATTTTAGAAATGAGTGAATGAACCAAATGTTTCTGAAACACTGGTCTCAGGAGATGCTCTGTGACAAATGGACCCTGTGGTCAAATAACTTGGGGAAACATGCGTAGTCTCGAAGGTTCACGATACACCATAATGTACGTATTCAAGGCTCTGAGAAGTCCTGCAGCAAAGGATTTCCCTATTGCTCTGTTTAGCCAACGTGTCTCCAAACATGTCTGTGTTGGTCACAGACCCTCTTCCATCTCTACCCTGGATCACGCCATCAGAGGCAGGGCCGCGGGGCTCCGCCTCTCTCCCACGGTGACGTCCCGTGCACCCGTGAACGGCGATTGTGAGACATGGACAACAGCAATACGGCAGCCCTCATTGCCCAGATTCTCCAGCCCAGGGAGAAGACGCGGGGACACAGTTACAGGACTGTGGAGCTCTGATCTGCTCCCTCTGAGAGGCCCCTCCTTCCCCAGAGGTGTGGACCCTGTGACAGCTTTTGTTTCTTCTTGACTGACTGTAGAGGGGACAGCCCTGCTGGCCGGTGACCCTGCCACTCCCATTCTCTCTTGCATCTGACCTACCCCAGCTCAGCCGCTCTGTCCATCCAGTGCTCCAACATCGACAGTCCCCAGTGGGGAAGGACCTGCTCACCCTGCCCTCCAGGTCCCAAGGAGGGGCCGCCATGGCCCCTTGCAGCCCCTAGCGAGCCAGCTGCCCGGGAGGACAGCAGTCCTTGGGGGCAGGTGGAAGATCCTCCCCCAACTCTGCCAGGACTGTGACCCACCCCCTTACCGCCCCCAGGGGAGCTCTTTCTCAGGGGCCCGAGCCCTCCCACACGCCACCTCCCAGCCCCTGTAGGGCCAGTAGGCCAGACGTGGGGAAGCAGCAGGGAAGCCTCGATGAGGCCAGGCCCCCTGGGCCTCCATCATGCCACCTTCAGACCCCAAGCTGTGCCTTCGGTCCCTGTCTCTCATCACCTCGGACCCGCACAGCAGCCTTGGAGCGGCGGTGGGAAGATGGGCTTTTCCACGGTTCAGAGGAGGGAACTGAGGCCCGGCCGGGATGTGGGACTCGTCTGACCTGTGACTTTCGACCTGGTGGGGGTGATGCACAGACATCCATCCCAGATCCCAGGACTCGTCCTGCCCAGACCCACCAGGTGACCAGAGGCAGCCCGGGAAGGGCTAGACTCTGCCCGACTGGGCCTCCTGGCTGGGTTACCATAGGAACTGCCTAGCATGTGGCTGGCCACCAGTCTGGGGTGTCTAGCCCCACAGTGGACCCTCGGGTGGCTGAGACCATGGAAGGACCTGCTGGAGGTCACAGAGAGTCAGAGGTTCAGCCAACTTTAGGCCTTGCTATCCCCCTTCACCCCACACCCCTCTGTCTGCTGCCCAGGCTCCTGTCCACAGAAGGGTGGGCTCTGTGCGGCTATCTCTGAGGCCCAAGGGAGAGACTAGATGTGGAAAGGGAGGTGACCCCCCAACCCAGGGTCTGCTCTGAGTCCAGGGCTGACGGGGCTTCCTGCCCAGCATCCCATATCAAGATGTGGGGGCAAGGGTGGTGACCCCATTCTTCAGGTGAGCAAGGGGAGGCCCGGGGGCCAAGCGACATGCTCGAGGTCACCCGGTGACCAAGCCAGAATTAGGGTCCCGGTGGGCCAGGGCAAGGTTGGCTCTTCCAGCCTCCAGCCTGCTTTGCATAGGCATTGGGAAGAGGCAGACCTTGTTCTAGCACTTTCTGTCACGTGAGTTCAGATAAAGCCCCTTGGCCACTAGGAGCCTCGGTTTCCTCATCTGTGCTTTGCCTGTGAGACTCAGCTGGCTCTGGGGGGATGTCACCCACAGGGTGAGGGCTGTCTCAGAAGAGGCCGGGATGGACCCATGCTCCTACCCCTGGCTAAGTCCCCTCCCCCGGTGGACTTACCTCCCTGCGTTGCCTCCACCAGGAAGCCTTCCCTGATCCCCAGACTGCATTCCCATTAGAGGTGGCCTCCTTGATGCGTGTGGCCGTCATGGGTGAGGGTGGGCCTGCTGCTGGGGGCCTGGATTGGGGCTACCTCACTTTGCCAACATCTGGTGGGGGCTTGTCATTGCAGCTACACAACGTCACCCTGGCCCTGGAGCTGCTGAAGGACGGAGGCCTGCTCAGCTACCCCGTCAGCCCTGAAGGTGAGCATGGGGTCCGCGTGGGTGGGGGCCGTTCCTTGGGCAGCCAGCCTCGGGCGGGTGCACAGAGTGGGGTGCGTGAGGGGCTCCTCTTGCTGGCCTGAGTGCATAAGGAGCGTTTACAGAGGCTTTCTATGGGGGACAGTGTGGCTCCCACCCACCCCATGGTGGAGGGATCCCAGGGAGAGGGGATGGGGGTCTGGGCCCCTGGGCTGGGCTATCCAGAGAGGTGAGATCTTAAGGGGTTTCTGCATGGCAAGAGGGGTGCTGGGGAGGACTGGGAGGGACGAGGGGAGCAGGGCCACGTGATGGGCCCTGGGACTCAGGCCGAGCAGGACCAGCTGCCTGGTTTGCCAGGGCTTTTGGGAGTCAGCACCGGAGCCCCGAGTCCCAGGCACACTGGGGTGGTTCGTCACCCCATCCCCGGGCCTGACCGGCTCCCCGCTCTCCTCTGGCCGCAGACATCGTGAACAAGGACAGCAAGAGCACCCTACGTGTCCTCTACAGCCTGTTCTGCAGGCACAAACTCAAAGAAGAGGCGGACAGGGTGCCCCGCGGGCCCCCCAGCTAACCGCCACCCCCGCCAACCCCGGCCAGCTCCGGTTTCCACCTGTCCGAATATCTCTGAACCCACCAGGCATAGATCCATTTTGAGCCAACCTCTGGCCTCGCTCGGTTTATTTTAACAAATGTATTTCTGGGAGGGATCTTGGGAGCCTGCCAGCGTCCTGGAAGGGCCATTAAATATGCACAAGTAGGAGCTGACCCTGTCAGGCCTCCCTCCCCAGGGGCTGAGTGTGGAAGGTGCTGGCCTCTCCTCTCTGAGCCTCCCCGACCCCCATGGGCAGAGCCCTGCAATGTGACCTTCGCCCGGGCGTGAGGGTCTGGCTCTGAGGGCAGAAGGGGCTCTCAGGAGTCGGGGCTGACGGCCAGAGGCCCGGGCCTGCCCGCACTCAGCTGCCGCCGCCTGGGGCGATGGTCCCAGAATCACCATCCATTGGCAGGAGCCCCACATGTCTCCAAAGCCAAGCCCCTGAGCCACTGGGGGAGGTAACTCAGTTACCCGCCCAAGGCACTGAGGCCCAGGCCCGCCCCACGGCTAAAATCACCAGCTTTGCCCAAGTGAGAAAGGAGACGTCCTTGTGGTTGATTAGCGGCCCAGTCTGTCCCCAGGGAAGTGCCCGAGGCTCTGGGTCCTCCTGGCATCACTGGCTTTCTGAGCTTTTTGCTGACCCTGCTCTGTCCCCTACCCCACCCCATTCCCTCCAAGCTGAAAGCTGAGTGCTCCTTCCAGGACTTTCTGAGGCTCTCTGCCCTGCCCCAGATGCCCTCGTCCCACCCACCCCAGGACCGGTCGCTCACAAGAGGAGGGGGCGTCCTTGAGGAGAGAGTGGAGGAGGGATGGGCCTGGAACAGGGTGGACACCTGGGGGGTCCCGGTGAGTTGGGGTGAGAGGGGGAGAGGGGCGTGGCTCCCACAAAGGAGGCCGAGGAGGGGCCAGTCTGCCCTTCTGTCCTCCGTGGGACCGCCTGGCTCTCCCTGGCTCCCTCTCCTCCATCCCGAGAAATCCGACTCGGGCTGAAGTGGCCACAAAAGCTGGAAGCAGGATATTTCTAGTGTCTCCCGGGAAGGCGTCCAGGGCCCGGGAAGGAGCTGGCAGGCTTGGGCCGGGTGAGCAACAGCTCGGAGAGTGACGGGAAATGCCTCGAAGGCGGAGGTGCCTGAGTTGAGCGGCTTCCCAAAATAGGCCAGGGGCAGCTGTCTCGGCTTCTGAAAGTGGGTCTGGCTGCCCGAGCTGCGGGAAGCCCCGGGCCCCACACCAGCCCGCTCTGGGAACAGATGGCAAGGGGAATTTTTTTTTTTCCCCCCAAAGTCAGCTGGTAAGCGAACAGCTTATCTAGGGAAAAAAGTGCTCCTCCCCCTCTCCGTGGTTACACTTCAAAGCTGCCACCTCCCCTGCCCCAGGCCCTGCCCCCCAGCCAGCCTGGGAGCTCACAGGGTCCTCACCCGCTGGCCCCTGGGCTCACGGGCCTGGGCTGAGAGGGGCAGCAAGTCCTGGGAGGCCTGGCTGGTGGGAAGAGGCACAGTGGGGAAGCCCCCGAGAAAGGATTCTTCCAGAAAGCGCCGGCCACGGGGCCTGGGTGGACCAACAATTGCGTGAATCCATTCATTTATCCACGAGCGGTTCAGGCCGACTGGCATCAGTGCGCAGGGGGCTTTTCCATCTGCACAGACCCTGTGCACCGGCCACCCCTCACGGCTGGTCCCTGCACCCGCCACCTGCAGGCCCGGGCGTGGAGCTGCGGGCGCCGAGGGGCTTGGGTGGAGGCTGGGGCCTGGCAGAGCTCACAGCCCCACAGCCCCATGGCGGACACGGGGCGGTGCAGTGTTTGAGGTTCCTGTCCTGCTTTCTCTGGGTCACAGAGGTCCCTTCTAGCTTTGGCTTTGAACTCACATTGCACGTGACCGCTCTGTGCCTGCACCCCCTCTCATCTGGCCCCTGCCCTGCTCTGAGTGCTGTGTACGCCGTGGGCCTGCTGCCAGCTGAGCGCCCGGTGCCTGGCCCAGGCGTAGAGACTGTGGAAGCTTTGGGCCCCGAAACCCCTGGACCAAGGGCTAGAAAAACAGAGCTGTGCTGGAAAAGCCAAGTCTCGGGCCCCAGGGCTAGAATCTTCTGAAGCTCCTTCCCAGGGGAGTCCCTTGCCTCCCCTGCCTTCCCAGCCGGGGGTCCCACGCAGCTAATCAAGTCCACCACCCACCACCCACGACGCCAGGCTAGCACAGTGGGCACCGGTTTAAAGGCAGGGCATCTGGGTCCAAATCCCCACCCCCCTTTGTCTGCTGGTGACCTTGGGGGAGGGACTGGGCTTCCTGAGCCAGTGTTTCCTCATTGTAAGGGGGGGGATCACCCAGGGGCGGTTCTCCCATCTGCCTGGTCCGCTGAGCGCTGCTGACGGACCCAGTCCCCACGGCTGCTCTGTGCACCCGGAGCTTCTCGCTGCAGTACACCCGGGCCCGAGCGTCCCAGGAGGAGGCTGGTGGCCTTTGGTGACCCAGACTAGGAGTCCCAAGGCGGGGCTTCACCTTGCTCTGTGGCTGACACAGTCACGAGCTGCCGTGGACTTGGCCACGGAGAGTCCGAGCTGCTTCCGCAGGACCAGAATCAGGGCCGCTCGGGAGGTGAAAATGCTGAGAGCAAAGGGGGCCGGAGAAGGTTCCAGCCCCGGACGGACCGCGCTGGTCAGCCCGGCGGGGGAAGGAGCCCCAGGCAGGTCCCGCAGACAGCTGGCCCGTGTCAGCCTGACCCTGACGGGGGAAAACCCGGGCCCTCTCTTGGGCGCAGACGCACGATATTTTAAAGGCATCTTCCCTTGACAGCACAGCCTCCCCGGGGCCAACTTGGCAGGTCGCGTGCAGCTGGGGAGGACGGCGGCCGGGTGCTGGCGGGAGGGGCCCTGAGCTCCTCTCCTGCACACGCAGCGGCCCTGGCAGGGGTGCGGGCGCCAGGCCTGGGGCTGCCCCCGGCAGGGCCAGCGGACCCCTGCCTACCGCCCGGCTCCAGGACGTGGTCTGACAAAGGATGCCCCGCTCCTTGATTTTCTAAGGTGTTTTAACGAAAAACCTTACACAAGTATCAGACCCTTTCAGCACATTCAGCTACACATTTTATGAGCTGCCTCCATTGATAAGAATAAAATTACCTATAAGAAACCTCAGCTTCAGGCAAAAATACTTGTCATTACTGTTGCGGCTGAAAGCATACAACAGCGTGCTTGGTCTACTAAGTGCCAGCTTCCCGCTGTGTGGTTTGTAAATACTATTTAGAATCCTCGAGATGCCTTGAATGGGAATTCTCATGCGCGCTCCTTCTACAGGAGCCCAGAGAGGTTGGTAAAGGGCTCTGGGCCACACAGCCCCGTGACAGAGCTGGGAAGCTCAAGTGTGACAGCCACAGGGCTGTGACGTGGGGGCTGGAAGCAGATGTTAAGATTGGATGTGACCTTGAGGTGTTAACAGAAAGAGAAGGCACCAGGGGAGGCCTGCTTGGCCCCGCCCTGCGCAGGGAGGGTAGCTGCCCACCTCGGGGAGTCCCCCACCTTCAGAGGCCAGCTGGATCCCCACGCGACATGTCACGGCTCCTCTCAATTGTCCCTCCACTGAGGGCAGGGACCTTGCAGGTCTCACTCGCTGCAGCCCATCGAGATCAGTGCTCAGCACATTATAGAGATTTTAAAAAAAATAAAAGTTCCGCAAAGGAAAGAACTTTCTAACATTCTGAACCATCTAACAATGGAAAGAACTGCTTAGTGATAGTGAGCTCCCCATTATTAGTGGTATGCAAGAAGTAGCTGGATGAGCATTTGTCAGGGTGCATGGGAGGAACAAAAGCAAGAGGTAGAGCTCCAGCCTAGGGCCACCCAGCCCCCCTCCAGGGGGCTTTGACCTCCCAGTGCTCCCCTTCCTGTCCTGGCCGGCGGGAGCCCGGGTGCCTCTCTCCTGCCCCCGTCCAATCTGCCCGGAAATGATGTTGGCTCTACCTCCAAATTGACCCCAGACTCGGACCACGGCTCCCCACCCCCACTGCTTCCATCTGGGTACAGCCACCTCCTGGCCCCTACAGTCTGTTCTCAGCACAGCCATCAGAATGAGCCTCTATAAACGTCAAGCCTGAGCATGTCACTCCTCTGCTCAAAACCTTGCAAAGTCTCCCAATGTTTCACCCGAAACACCAGCCAGGGTCGTTCCAGGGGTCAATAAGGCCCCGTATAAGTGGACTCTTTTACCTTCTCTGGCATCACTTCCTCGGCTCGCCCCTTGCTCACTCCAGTCTCCATGCTGTGAGGAAGCCCAACAGCCATGTGGAGGCCCCCATGGGGGAGAACCGAGGTCCCCATCTGATACCCCAGCTGAGCTCCCAGCTTGTCACCAACATCGGCCACCAGCCATGTGAGGCAGGTCCTGATGAACCCCCGTGCTCCCCAGAGCCCCAGCCTGTACCACAAGAAGTGCAGAACCCACATGCTCACCCCACAGAATTGTCACAGCCAATGGCTGTGGGCGTTTTAAGCTACTAAGTTTTGGGGTGGTTTATTATACAACGATAAATAGCCTAAACAACTGTCCAACTGAGGACTTGGCTGAAAAATGTGTTTTAGCGGCATGAAGACACACGTGCGTATATTTACACACGAATGACACTGTGTCAGCACAGGCGCCGTTGGTTCCCTTGGCGTCCCTGTGTCCGCGTTCCTGTTCTGCTTGGCTCCCTTTCCTCCTTCCCATGCACACACCCTGCGTCCCCAGATCCCGTTGCCTATTGCTCCGAACGCTCACGAAATCCTGGGTTAATGTGCGCAGACACACACAGAGGTTCTGTTGCGGGGAGAGGCCGTTATGTCATAAAAATGCAATCAACGCTACACTATTCTTCGCTTCTCTTATCTGACAATCACTCCGAATCCCCTGCAGAACTCCAATTCATTCCTTTGAATAGTTGCATAATTTCCACAGCATGGCCTTCCCGTACGAGTCGGATGTTCCCAGGGGGCTGCTGGAGGCAGCGCACACGGC